AAGTCACAGATCCATAATTTGGCCTGAATTGGTGTTTAGCAAACATGACTAAAAAGTGTCTAAACTCTAATTGTTGCCACATTGTGGCCATGTCAAGTTGCAAAATATCTCGATTTCCTTGAACATAGAGTATGATTGAACTTGCTACACAATACATTCAAATGCTGGGAAAGGTGGAAGTGCTAACAGAACCAGCGGGTAAGTCACTCTGAAACACATCAAAAACACTCCTCGACACACTGAAACACCCTTCAACCACTATGAAAACCAACTTTTCAATCTTTTTCTGGCAGCACTGTCTAGAGCCAAAGATGTTTACATTCGTTTGATGCCCTTTTTTGTTCTTGTGGATTTTTTTTCTGAAGAGGACATCTCCCTCTAGCAATCTGTAGGATTCCTCAGAAAACTGATCGGGACATGGAAGTAACACTCACTCCCGCAATTGGGATATTGAAAAAAAAATAGCCAATTATCCGCTAAAAGCTTGAATATATGCAACTGTGCATGAATGAAGAAACGGGTGAATTATTGACTGATGAAGAGAGATATTTCTTTCTAATTTGGTAGTCATTCCATATACACAATACCAAATCAGAGAGATCCATCCTACTAGCTGCGGTGTACAAAAAATTTCGTATTCTTTGCGAAATTTAGATCCAGAGATTGCTTAGAGAGGGCATGCTCGGCTGGTTTATCAGGGCTTGATTGCGACTGGAATTCGTTTGGAATGGAGTCGAGAGGGCTTTACTGGCTTAAGCCAGAATCTCAAGCATGAGAATTTGACTGCTGAGGGAGTACTTTTTGAGATCGGAGTCGGACAAGTACAGCACACTCTTTTAGTTAGGTGATGCGGATGACGATCAGGGATGAGAATTTGAATTCTTGTAAATTGTTTACGTTAACGTGTACTTTTTACTGGTATTCCATGCTTACACTGTGCATTATTAAATTGTTAAATTTTTGGCGAGAGCAAAAAAAAAGAGAATTTTGTTTGTAAACAAATGTGCAGATAATGGTTGCCAGTAATCATTAATTTTCGCTCAACGTTTTGATAGCTAGGTCGACATGCAGAACAGCGTTGGCAGATTGTTTTTAAGCTTAAGGTTATCGGTATTTACTATTTATTTAATTTTATATTTTTGCCGTTTTTGAAAGCGAAAATTTTAACAGTGGTGACGACTGGGATTTGAGGGGAATTGCTTTTTTTTTGACGGCTTTCTCAATCTTTAATTTATTTAATTTAATTTTTAAATTACCGTTGTCCTCAACTGGTGATCAAAATTATGACCAAGTAGTGTTTTTTTTTTTCAATTAAATATCATTAAATAAAACCAAAATATGGAAAATCAGCCGCAACAACGACTAAACTATTGACAATAACGACAAACAATATTTCCCTTGAAAAAATCCACAACCTGTGGCCGAAGTATCGGGTAGATTACATCGTAGTTGTTGCAGTGTTTTAAGACTGAGAAAGCCGTTATCCAAAGCAAAATTTTAGCTTTTGAACTATGATCGGGAAATTCCGGAAGAAAACTCCGGGGAATGTTTGAATTAGCTTCTGAATGGAGCTGAAAAAACATCCAGAGAAAGACGAAAGAAGCTCTCCTGGATGAAGTTTGAGAAAAGCTGGAAAAACCTCCGGGAAACTTCCGAGACACGCATTGAGAAACTTGTGGCGAAAATTTAAATAAACTATCGGAAAAAATCGGATATCACATTCAAATGCAGCCAGAAAAGTTTCGGAAACCAGAAGTAAATTTCCAGAAGCCATTTCCAGGTCTAGCCAGAAGAAGCTCGGAAAAACCTTCCAATATAAGTCGAACAAAAAAAAACCTTTGGCTTATGGTCAAACTGCCAGAAGAAGAAGAAATAAATTTCTGGGAGAATTAATTGAACTTCCTTGAGAAGACGAAATAAACTTTCTGGAGAGGCTGGCAGAAACATCTGAAGAAAGTCGGAGGCCAGAGCGCTTACGGAACAGTCGAAAAAAATAAGGGCATAATTCCAGAAGAAAGAGATTCCTGGAGGATGTTCTAATGATCCAGAAAATTTTCCTGGTATTCAAAAAACATCCCTGAAGACTCTGAAATTTCCCTGAAGTTTTCAGAACATTCCTGAAATGCATTTAGGAATATTCCATAATCCCATAATATTCCTTAAAAGTTCTTGTAATTTTTCTGAAATTAGGGACTGGTTTGGAATTCTCTGGCCATCCTCGAAGCGCTCGGAACTTCCCTGATTATAATAAGACTACCGGAATATCTTTTATCATCCTAGAAGGTCTCTGGACTTTCTTGAAGATTACGAAATCGCTGAAGTGCTCTCACAATTTTCTTGAATTTATTGTAACATCAGCATAACATTAAAGTTCTCTGATCTTCCCGATTTTTTTTTAATTTTTAAAAGTTATCGACACTGCCATTAAAAAGCATATTATTTCCCATAAAATGTTCTCACAATGATCTAATGTTCATGTAACTTCACTTACGTTTCCTAAATTTGCATGGACATTGCTGAAGTTTTCGGAAATTGCCTGAGTTTCTCGGAACTCCTTTATAATTTCAGCAATTTCCCTAAGTAAATTAATTGATCTGTCCTGATGTTCTCTGAGCTTTACTAAAGTTCATGAAAACCATTAAATTTCCCTGAAGTTCTTTGAACTCGTGTAGTTTCCAAATTATTTATGATGTTTCCTTAAGTTTACTGGAATTCGCTGAACTTTTCTGAAATTTCCGGGTTTTCGATTTTTTTTTTTAATGAAACTGTCTTTAATTTATCGAAACTTACACATAAGTCTGGACTTTTCTGAAGTTTCAGAACTTCTTAAATGTGTCTGCAGCTAGTGTGGATCCGCAATAAAAATCAGATTGCATCCTTGAAGCTCCGGGAAAGTTAAAAAAAAACTGGCGGGAGACGATGAAAGAATCATTCGAGCGAAGGCTGAAGAAGCTTCCAATGTTATGTGGAAGAAAATTCCAGGGAAAGTTGGATGAAACTTCAGGAAGTTTAAAAATAAATAAAAACTTCCGGAAGTTGAATAATGTTCAAAATATATTTCTTGATTCCCTAGGAATTACCGGTAAGAGCCATCGACTATTTCTCGATTGATGGGTAGCCAAACAAAGTAAGGAAATACAAACATTAATCGAAAGAGTATCAAGCATAAGGCATCTTTAGAGATGATTGTTTAGAATTTTGAAGGTTCAAACAATATGAGGTATTCAAGAAAATACAAGTCTCTCACAAAAACTTTCTGCAAAATACGAGCGCGAGCATTCAATAATAATTTTGATTATTAAAAAAACGGTATAAATCGGTATAAAATCTTAAAAATCGGTATTCCAAAGAACCTTATCTGTATATCGGTATCTTGTTTGGAAATCTGTATAAATACCGATAAATCGGTATATCTAGCAACGCTGATGCACAAACACTTTCCGACACCCAAAAACACACAAGAAACACAATCAACACATGCATAAGGTGGCAGAGTGACTTACCCCCTGCACAGAACACTATGTTGCGAGCCGGCGTAAAATCCCAGTGGGATTCGCTAAAATATAGCTCTAAAACGTGAAAAGTTATTGAAACTCAAATATAATAATAGGCCCACTATATTTGGCGCAAGGATTGAAAGACTATGCAAGGAACGTAATCTCTACCCGAGCAGGAACGAGTATCTCGATACCTGAAATTGGATGAGCCTGACGTAAGAAGAAAATACGAAAAAGTAGTACCAAATGTAATACCAACACGATACCACACAGATGTTTTTTTTTTTTTTTTTTTTTTCGGTATACGAATATTAAATTTTGTTATTTACAAAGTATTTCACATGCAATTTTTTGGTATTATTCTTCGGTATCTTACCTCTTATGCCATGCTCATTAACTTCAAATTTTGGTAATAGGTTAGAATTAGGTATTCATTAGTTATTTTCTCGGGTGATTAGATTATGGTGTTGCTGAGCCTGACATAGAAGGTAAAATTCCAAAATAATACATAACAAATGTTCTACGAATAACGGTCTTACAAATAATGTAGTTATTATAATAACTGATGGATCCTCAACGCTTTTTTGTATGCTAGAATACCATAATTTGATATTAAAAAGATCTTATAATACCAATCCAATATTTTTTTGAGGTGATATTTTAGAAAATATCTCGATAACTGAATAATACCAAAACAAGGTTTTATAGTACAAGCATACCAAAATAAGGTATCATATCTAACTAAGATATCCATGTGTTATCGATTAGTAATCGGTTCTTGCTCGGAATACCGTTACTTCAACGTTTGTCAAACCCATTAGAAAAATTAAATTTGAGTATAATACATTAATTATTTATAATTCTTTCGCTTAACCAAAGACATGATTAAGTAAGAAAACCAACCGAGTGCAAACTAATTCTGAACTGAAATATGAATGTAGGTGCATAAAGAATTAATCAAATCAATATCGCAGATATGATAAAACAAAATTGTTTCTTTATCATATGTGTCTGCTCATCGACCAATTCGCACCCGTGATAGTTTACCTAAACCCATTGCTCGACATCCACGTAATTTTTAATTAACGAGTAAAGTTTCCTTTGTCTCCACGCTGCATCAATGGACAACTAGCATCGATTCATTCGATAACTTTGTCTTCTAGCTATTGTTACTTCACTAAAACAAGTAGCTTTCTATATCAGTTGAATGCTACCACTACTAGTGAACATACTGTAGAAATCCTTTCAGTAAATGTGAAAAATTGGGGAGTACTTTAAGCTTTGCTATTAAACTAATGCAAATGTGACAACGGTTTAAAATATTGCCGGAAATCATTGATTCATAACGATCCAAATACGCAAACTAATCCCTCGCTCTTAATCATGACTCATGATCTCGTCAAACGACACTCAAATCGTTTGTTCAGTAAATCCCCTTCAATAACGTTTCCATTGGGGACTACCCAGCATTTTTTGCCAACTCCAATTATGAATATTACTTACCGCTGAGTTCTCGTCACAGTTGAGCATCCCGTAGAAATCCTCATCGGGATTGCGCTTGTAGGTGAGAATCTCGTCGACTTTTCCGCTCATCTTGTTGGCTGTTATTTTCTTTTGCTCTTGCTCACTCGTACACACAAAATGCACCGAAAGATCACAAACTCTCACTATTTAGCAGCTGATAAGTGACCGATGGTCGAAAACAACAACTGTTTAGCGCTGGATGCTGCTACCGCCAATAGAATTGAAATTCCTTCTTATCAGGGGATTCCAAAACACTCACAAAATCCACCGTAGAGCAAATAACGTGATGACAAAACTTTGATTTTTGGAGCTTTCTTCAAACAAGCAAGCAAACGAATAGCGACGTAGCTGACAAACAAGCAAAAGCGATTACCACTGTGGGCCCGTTTACTACCCAAAGACCTTGGCCTAAAGTGAAACTATTGGCCAGTAATAGTGGTATTGCGATTTTACCTCAGCTGCTAATGGGCGCACTGTGTTGAACGTAGGAACGCAGGAAACCGAACTGGCTGCAAACGCGACGACGTCCGAAGGTTGACTGAGCACCGTGGTTGAGCTTTCTGGTGTGGTTTGGTATCCACTCCGTGATTCCAAAACCACCGTGAACAAGAGACAGAGCTGGAGTTGGAGCGTTGGAGCCCAACAACTAACAAAACAGACGGTGAAAGGCAACTTTTTGCACTTGCCGCTTGGAGAAGAGGTACTCTGCTCAATGACGGGCTTCTAAGCTGTTGCAAAGAAATACAGAAATCGGTTCTAAATTAGTTTAACTTCACTTCAATGATATTGTTTTTCATTATTATGCTTTATTTAATAATACTTCCACCAATTGTAAAATTCGTCTGAATAGTAAATTGTAAACTAACACGTCCTCTATCGGTAGATACCTTATCATGTGTTCGCCAAACATTGCTACTCTCTGAGAACAAACTGAAAGCTTTGCCAGAGAGACTCATCTAGACACAGCTGGAGAAAAATCTCCCGAGCAGCAGACCTGATCCGAGCATAATGAGAAGTGAAGATGGTTGGGAGGTAAACTAGGCACTGAAAACGAGAGCTGAAAGCTTTCAACCCGTTTGACCTAGCACACTGGATACTGGATGCTGGATGCTGGATGCTGCAAGCCTTCTGGGTGTTTGGCTAAATAAGTACAGCACAGCCAGGTATGGCTTCTAGTGAGAATTTTTGACCTATTTATGAATCCCATCACTGCTATTCAGGGGATTCTGCGCAACAACGCAAGGGGGGAAAATGCATAGTGATACATTTATTGTGTGCAATCGATTATGATATTGGGTAGCACTTTTGCTACCCCTGCTAGTGGTGCAGTCGAAGCATTGAAATTTTGCATAATTCTTAAATTCATTCACTCACTCCGTTGGAGTTAAACAGTATCAAGACACATGAAAGTCTCAAACACTGCTTACCTAGTTCCTTCAGTAGTGAGAACTAAAGAGACCTACAGAAAACCGATCCCAGAGCTACATAAATAAATTTTAATTGGTTGGTGGAATATGGTCCACACAGGATCTTCCGGCATTATTCAACTGAAACGTAATAAAAAAAACCTCAGCTACATATTGTGGTGAAAAACGCGATTTAGAAACGCTCGATTATCAAAGAGGCAATACCTTGCAATTTTTATTATGACGAAGTGAATAGATTGCTATCATTGATGGCTAATCAAATTAAAACGGATGAACGCTTTCATCACAGGTCTCGCTATAAATTATTTGAAATTATTAACCTACATCTATAGCAGGAGCATACAGTTACTGCAATTGAATTCCAAAACGTAGAGTGCAGGAATTAAATTCCACTTGCCCCACCAAAACTACCACCAAGAATTACTAAACCATTGTTACAAAGAAGGAATACTATGCCATACTGGCTACTACCGATTTCTCCGAATAATAACTTCAGTCCTGAATTCCAATATAATAACTATAGCCCCCAATTCAATATAATAAACAAAGACAAGGACAATTTCCACACCAATCCTTCCAACCACCACCTAAAATCCCACAAATAAATGGTTGTAGACCCATCCATCAAAACCAATCAAATCAATTACGGCAATAGACCTCAACACACGTCACCGGTAAACCCACTGAAAAGACTTAGACTTTTCAATAAGGGAACTGGACAGAACGAAGGAATACATATAAGTTATCAGTTATGAACGTTACATGAGGCAAGTTGAAGCCCAGAAACGGGAAATACGTGAAATAGGTGCACTAAATGCCGAACTATTTTTTTTAGAATATAAATCGCTTTACCATATATTTTTTTACTATGGTAATTGGCATTAAGCATTTTGATCGACACGGGTTCGAATAAATATTGTATTCACCCAAAACATGCACAAATTACACACATGTAAACAAACCTGTCCATTAGAGTGTTTCAGCGTTATATGGAAAAAAGTCAAAGTCTGGAATTTCAAACGCTGCCCTCTGGAATGGTAGTTTGAGGGGTCAGAATCACCCTGCCAAAATTTGAAGTCATTTGGTTCACGGGAACCCCTCGCTCAAACGGCTTGAAGTTTGTATAGGGAAAATCGACAAAATGTATGGGGGAGCAAGCCACTTTCACATTCGCGGCTCTAGGTGGCGCTGTAGTGCGTCGATTTTCTACGTGTACAAAATGTAGCGCTTTTGGAGTACTGGGAACATCTTGGCTCAAGACCGGATGTGAATCCGAGTTACCCCCGAAAAGTTATTAGCGTTTCAAAGGAACACCACCTGCTTTACTTCTGGGGAGGGCCTAACGCGCTTGTGCAGTTTTTATTTTTACGAACAGGTATACGAATAGCAATGTTTGCATACGTATAACTTTTTTGTTTAACCATGAAATTGGTTTAAATTTTCACAGTGAGTAGAAAAATGTTCGAAATTATGGTCTACTAAAAATTGGAACAGATTGGCCAAGTGGTTCCGGTTTTATTCCGGGTTTCCGAGAGGCCATCGGGTTGAGAAAAGGTACCAGTCGTCTAGAACAAGGTGGTACTGAAAATCCACAGCAACAGGCATCTATGGGTAGTGCTGATTAATTTTTTAACAAAATCAACCCATAACCTGGTTCTAAATACTGAGCGTCCACCGGAAGGCCTTCCGATGACCCGGATCAACCTTAATCTGGATTATTATGTATTTTTTATCAAAGTAGGCCTTGATTATTCTCTGCAACTATATGAAATGTAGTAAATTAATGATTTTAGATATATAAGCGTTTCAATGGCTCCAAGTGGTCACCAAATGATCCGCCGGAAGATCCGAAACATCCGTAAAAATTAGTGCTACATAAATTCGATCAAAGTAGGCCTTGATTTTGCTCTGCAACAATGAGAAATGTTGTAAAATGCTGATTTTTGATATGTTAGCTGTTCAATGGCTCCGAGTTATCACCAGATGGCAGGGGGGGCGACCCCGGCGTAGTGGTTAACATCCATACCTCTCACGCCAAAGTCACGAGTTCAAATCTCACCCCCGGACAAGTCACGAATGACCCAAGAGTGTTTAAGTGACTATAAAAAAAAAAAAAAAAATCACCAGATACGGAACATCCGTAAAGTTGATTGCTGTGTAAATTTGATCAAAGTAGGCCTTGATTTTCCTCCACAATTATATGGAATACAGTAAAATGGTGATTTCTGATATATTAGCTGGTCATTGGATCCAAATGGTCAACCAGATGACCCACCGAAAGATCTGGAACATCCATAAAATTGGTTGCTAAGTAAATTTCATCAAAGTTTGCCTTGATTTTTCATTGCAACTGTATATAATGTAGTAAAATTATGATTTTTTTTATATATTAGCTGTTCACTGGCTCCAAGTGGTTCGCTGAAAGATCCGGAACATCCGTAAAATGTATTGCTGCGTAAATTTGATTAAAGTAGGCCTTGATTTTGCTCTGCAACTACGTGATATGTAGTAAAATGGTTATTTTTGTTATATTAACTGTTCAATTGTTCCGAGTGATCACGACATAACTCGCTGGAAGATCCGGAAAATCTGATAAATTTATTGCTGTGTAAATTTGATCAAAGTAGGCTTTGATTTTACTCTGCAACTATGTGGAGTGTAGTAAAATGGTGATTTTAGATACATTAGCTGTTCAATGGCTCTGAGTAGTCACCAGATGGTCCGTCATAAGATCTGGAACATTCGTAAAATTGATTTATGTGTAAATTTGAACGAAGTAGGCCTTGCTTGTTCCCTGCAACTAAATGGAATGTGGTAAAATGGTGATTTTTTTTTTATATATTCGCTGGTCATTGGCTTCGAGTTATCACCAGGTGGTCCAGAAAATACGGAACATCCGTAAAATTTATTGCTGCGTAAATTTGATCAAAGTAGGCCTTTTAAAATGTAGTAAAACGATGCTATTGATGTTGCTTCTTACAGTCGTTAGTTAACTGCCTCCTGTCAAAGTTCATTCATGACTAAATATTCATCTTAGCTTTCTTCAAATTGAATTCAACATTTCAAAACAGCGAAAAAAAATGTGGTAAGTATAGGGTTTAACATATCATCATACACCAATCGATCTCTTTGTCTCGTATCAACTAAAAATACACAGCTACCACATTGCTTTACGCTGGAATGCATGCAATGCGATTGTATCTTCAAATATTATTATTGCCGCACGGCTGTAGAATTCAAATCAAATTTGCATTCCGTTAACTCAAATTCGCTAAAACCCAGGATATTCATAGACTGAGTAAAATTTTTCTCGGTTTGCCTCAAATGAAGATTTTTCACGATTTTGAGGAAAATCGAGGGAACTTTTGCTCAATCTAGGAGTATACCTGAAGACTGTTTTCATTATTATTATAATTATTACTCAGTCTATAAGTAACCTGCTTTCTAGAGAATATGAGTAAATGGAACTCAAATTTGAGTTGAATTCTATAGCCGTGTGTATCTCACTTGTGAGTATATCAATAAAGCAGTACACCATAGTTTTACAAGCACCTATTTGAAATATCCTTCTGATACGGATATGAACTTAGTTTAACAGAATAATTAGTATTCCTTAAGTATAATCGCTTATTGCTTTACAATGCATATTATATGGGAGTATTCGCCATTAAGCAGTGGTAGTGGTTAAGTAGCATTGTCATCACGGGCAGCATCCTTCCCGCAGCCAGAGTAATAATCCGCAGCAGTAGCGTCGAAATACACTGCTCGGGCAGAATCACCATGAAGCTCAAGTAGTGGTAAAGAAACGGTGGACGGAAAACGGCGAAAGTAAACAGTAAGTTCACTATGCTTTCAAGTACTGTGGTCATAAGAACACGAAGGTTCGAAGCAGCAGCATCAACACAATGCGAGGTACCTGCTAAACTGGTGTAGTGTGTAACCAGTATCCTGATTGACTGGTTCAGAAGTTATTAGTTAGTAAGTTTTTGAGGTTAAGGCCCAGTTAGGTCCAGGGAGATTGCCACCTTTTATTGTAACCAGGACTGGCAAATGTCATTTTCAATGAAAGATCTCACGCGATATTTACAGAGATACTTCTGTCACTATCATTGGATGAGAAAACGATGATAGAGATTTTCTTCAAAATCTCATCGAATTTTTCGTCATGACAGAAC